TATCAATACTACCCAAAGATTCACGAAACGCGAGACGCTAGCATAACGGCCGGCGTTCATTTGGCATATCATCTGGCTTGGGGAAATCTGTTTTGGAAAGCGATTCTTCGATGCATGTATTTACAAGACGTCGGAATTCAAAGATATGAGGTTGCTGAAGGAATGTGGGGAAGAAACATTGGAACAAGAATCTCTACTCTATTGCCTTTGCCATAATGACAAGATCGAAAGGTCGTGTTTGCATTATTCATGAATCTATGGAACCTCCGAGGACTTTAAGCACGCTGGCCCTAGTCGACACTCGAATATCTGCACTGGCGATTACCATCCAGAGTTCCCGCCGCTGCCCCACTGCCTTGCACTACCCTCTGACGGACCTTGGTTATATGCACCGCCCTGTCCATACGCCCCATAAGATCCCGGAGGTGGCTGTTGAGCTGGTGGTTGAGCAAAGCCTCCTGGCCCGGTGTTGTAATTCTCGTACCCCTGCTGGTAATTTGTAGGAACAGTATAGCTAGGCTCCACACCTTGGCCTCCCGAGTACTGGCCCTGACCCCATCCGTATCCGCCAGAAGGTACCGCGTTGCTGTACTCGGCGGGCGGTTGGTAGGCTTCACCCGAGTAGGATGACTGGTAGGGTTGGAAACCAGCCCACTGGTTAGGTTGCGGTGACGGTGACGGCTGGTATGGTGCTGGTGCTGATGAAGAGGAAGCAGAGAAGTTGTCGTCCATGTCGCGAGTTTTTCCAGAGCTGCCGCCAAGGCTGCCGAGCATACCACCAAGAGGACCAGGAAGTTTGCTGGTCAAGGAACCAAGAAGGTCGTTAGATCCGCTGGACTGTTGTTGGCCAGGATAGCCACCGCCGTGATTGCCTCCACTGCCATGGCTGTGACCTCCAAAGCTCGACATATTCACTGCCCCATGGCTGTGGCCTGTAGAGTGATCGTTCCCGCCACTGTGATTGTGCCCGGCCTTGACGGATTCCGAAGACAGAACCTGGTTTAAATCTTTGCCGTGGTAGTTGCGGGCCCACTTCTCAACGACCTTGAACATTTCGTTGTGTACTTCGCAGTGCGGGTCTCGAAGTGCTGGGTGATGGAAAACGCGCATGCAGTCGTTCAGAACTTCGTCGACAGGAACATCTGGGTGGTCCCAAGCGTAGATCACGCGAGGTGCGACGTACTGCAAGATCGCTACAGCGACTTGACCGGCTGGCGGGTTCAAGACGTTCGAGAAGTGGTCTTTGGATAACATGCTGTGGGTTGGGTTGGTAGACGAAGGGTCGTTCCAGACCTCAAACTGATGTTTGGCTGCTGAGTCGATGACAGCAGAGGAACCGCTCTTCAGCTGTGATGATGCTGTCTTGATGATTGGTAAAATGAAAGGTGCCAGCAAAGAGAGCACGAATAGAGTGACGCGCTCGGTGATGGTCTCGATCAGTTTCTCTAATCCAGGGATCTTGGAGATGATGGCTGAGATGCTGCGGACAACGTTGTCGCGGAACACTTTGACGGGTTAGCTCGCGTCTCTGGGTTTACGTTTCAAAGTTTTCTTACCCAGGATAGGATAAATCTTGGGGATGATGGTGGCTGGATCCGTGTTCGTTCCTGGAATGTCCGGTCCTGGGGGTCCTAAAATGTGCGCATATCAAGTTAGTTCATGTCTCATATGCAGTTCGTGCAGGAACAGTTCTTACCGCCCATAGATCCAGGTGGTGCATCGAAGGTGTTAGGCCCAGCTCTGGAAGAGCTGTAGTCGCCGTAACCTCCGCGTGCGTTTTCTGCAGCCTGTGCATCTGAAGAGGCCTGCAGATCCTGTGCTTGTCTGATGAGATCCCCAGTACCAGGCACTTTGCTAAGAACGTCGATCAACCCCCCACAAGCATTCGACTGGCCTCCAGGTCCGCTTCTCTGTCCACCAGGTCCACCAGACACTGCATCTACGAGAGCAGTGTTCACTTCATCGATCTCAGTCTGAGTGATGTGGTCATTGGCTTCTCCAAGCACGGAATGGAAGAAATCAACACCTCCAAATGTGCCAGTTACGAGCGGATATGTATGCTTTCCGTGGAGGTTAATGCCAGCTTGTACGCCCACATGAGGGAAAACGTTGTGATAACCAAGCTCGCGTAGCACAAGTTCGGTATAGTTAGTATGCGCTCCAAAATCTTCGAGGCAGTGCAGTCCTTGACCCAGACAGCGAAGCGCTTCCGATAGATCCTCGTCTCGTCCGCGTTGACCTGATGATCCGTGGGTATAAAGGCGGCCGAAGTGGATGGCGCGCGCAAATGAGTACTTTACATATCCGCTTGATGTAGCCCAGTTGCCATGTTCATTGGCGATATAGTTTTTCATACCGGTGTTTGGATCCACCGCGAGCTCAGCTTCTGATACTGGTCCTCGAAGACGAGGGTCGTATTTTCTTGCGTCTTCATTATCGGCATAGTCTTTCTTTGAGGATGTTAGTATCAAAACACACATGTATGTGCAAACTGAGGTTGCCTACAGGATTGTCTGGACTACCATTAGTACGAGCAAGTAGGAGAGGTTCAAGTTCGCTTACCGATATGCTCTTCGGGCCTATAAACACCTAGTCTCTCGGCTGTAACCTCGAATTCTCCAGTTGCATAGCCAAAAGACATGAAAGACAAGACCCAGACCAGGACACGAATGGTTTCGCCCTACTAATCGTAAGCTTGTTGACCGATTAAAAAAAATCTTGCCGTAACACGTACTTGAACTTTGGCCAACGTGCCCACATCAACAGCCTGAATCAGTCAGCACAGTCTTGCGTCGCGCAGTCTATTGGAATCACCTGTGAGTAATCGCGTAGCCAGTTGCCAAAGTACACACGCTACACAGAAGGTCAGTCGTGATAGTCACTGTAACGTTGCCATTTGGATATACCTTGATCATGTTGCTCTTCCACTTGTGTCCTTTCAAGCACGCGACCGTCGCGAGCATGTCTTCAATGTCGCCATGTCGCCAGTTTTTGCCTTCAATCTTTGAGATGCTCGCGATGTTGCCCGCGCCGAAGGCATCAGCGCCGGCGGGTAGTAGCACGAGGATCGCAATAGCGATGAGTAGGACGTGCTGTGAAGAAATCCCCATGGTTGCGATATTACAAGAGTGGAACTAGGAGTAAGATGGTATCGTAGAGAAGCGCAGTAAGAGCCTGCGAGTGACTATTTCCCTGCTGTTCAGTCAGCTGTCTACGATTACGGATAAGCGGCTGTGCAAAATGACGCAGCCACACCTGCCCCACTTCGTGTGTGATGATTTGGAGGGGCTGGCGCAATGACGCAAGCTCTTCTTTTCAGCTTACCACAACAGAATTACCATAGTGTTACATTCATAAATGGATAACTTGAAAGTTTGTGAAGTCGTGAGTTTTGTAAGTTTTGTTACTCCATGCTATTGTGGACCGCGAGAAGGCTTACCGACTTGGCTCCTCTTTATTCTTCTCTCTGTATAGGGCGCCAGGTCATTCGCTTATGTGCTATCAAGAGCTTGTCGCAGCCACTGTCAACCGATAGATGACGGAGCAGCGCTATAAACAAGAGCGTCTTGCTACATATGCCTGAAGGTCGCACAAAGGCCCAATCGCCCGACAGTATTGGATCCCCGAGCTGCGAAGATCCATTTCCCTCTATAAGATCAATTTGGTTCGGCAACTGCGATGAAGAGAAAAGAATTTAGATGAAGAGACCACGACTATAGTAACCACGATGAAGCACCTTTGAAGACTCGCCAGGGGCAGATCTTTCCAAGGAGGAAGGGCAGCGTGTTTGTCACTCAACTCAATTAAGAGCTATGGCAATGGAGATGAGCCTGACGTCTCCACTAGGAGCTGACAGGTAGCGAAGAGGAAACCTCATCTGCTCCGTGAGGAGTAAAGGAGGGGAAAGGGTGCAGTCTTTCCTGCAGTCAGTTTGCAATACTGAGCGAATGGCCTAACTGATCACGACCTCAGGGGGTTAAGATGTTGGTCGTGGTACAGAGCCGAAAGGGCTGAAGATGAAGATTTACTGTATGCAATTTTTGCTAGAGCGCATGGGCAGCAAACAACGGTACATTATCAGCGATGAGAAGAGAGAGCATTCACCAGTTCCCTAGAATGGTCTTACCCTCCCTTGCACGTGCCTCGCGATCCGAATCAACGCTGTCAACGCAATCTTGAGCGCGTTTCAAGCCGACGACTGACAGGCTATCCCAGCACGACTGCGATAATCTAGGAGAGGACGTATGACATCTGCCCAACTACGGTCACTATTGTGCTATCACTGCCCAAGCAGGGTCTGCAAGCTTAGGCACCAATCGCGCTAGCATTATAGAACCCCTGTTTCGACAACTCCACACATGTGCTCATATGCGAGCAGACAAGGCGAAAATGGTGCCAACATAACCCGGAAATGTTTCTGGGATTATAGCGGGTGCACATCGTGGAGCTAACAATGGAATGGCGGGTGTGAGGGTGCAGAATTGAATAAGCACCATGAAGCGGACAGCGTTAGAGAGATTAGGTAGTGCGAGGAGTACAGTAGTCGAGAAGTCAACTACGGAAATAAGATTGGAAAGGTAAGATCTTGAAAAGGGCTAGGCAAGAGAGGATACGTAAAATACGAGAGAGAGGGTGTAGGAAATTTTAAACCGTTAGATTTTGAATGGTAGGAATGGCCAGACCTTACGAACCCGAAGGTATCGGAAATAGTAAACAATCGCTGAGGTTGGACTTTGGAAGCAAAGAGGATATAGAAGTAATGGAAGCGGCGAGAAGGAAGTATCGACACGCGTAGCTGTTGCTGACGTAAGGCGGAACGGCGAGGATTGAGTGCCAAGCAGTGACGACGCCCAAGAGGATCGATCATCTTACTTGGACACTCCACTCCACCCTTTGCATGCCCACGCACACGACCAGGCAGCAAAGCTGCATATAGTCTTCCAACACTTCACCAGCAAAGCTTGAAAATCTACCATCGACGCGCGAGATAAACGATCAAAATGCCCCCACCACCGCCTCCTCCGCCGCCTCCACGTAAGTTGTCCCTGTTGGAACTGCTAAGACACGTATTGACTTTGTGTATTTAGCCCCAGGTATGGGAAGGGGAGCTGGTAGAGGTATGCCGCCGCCGCCTGGCAAGGCACCTGGTGCCAAAGCACCTGCTTCAGGTGCAGGACGAGTACGTCGTATCCTCGCGAGAGATTGGCACGGCGCGCAGTCATGACTAACATATCACAGGGCGCACTCCTCGGCGACATTACAAAGGGCGCACGATTGAAGAAAGTTACAGTGGTTAACGATCGATCCGCGCCTATCGTTGGCAAAGTGAGCGACGGGCCCGCTCCAGTCGCCATGGGCGCACCTGCAATTCCGACAATGGGCAAGGCACCGGCAGTCCCAGGTCTTGCGCCGCCAGGGAACCGAGCAAGAAGCAACAGTGATACTGGAGACGCGCCTGCTGCGCCCCCGCAGCTGGGGGGACTGTTCGCAGGAGGAATGCCGAAGCTAAGAAAGTCAGGTAACAACTCCCATTTACCAACTGCATGTGAGACATGCGCTGACTTTGTATTCGCATCTTTTAGGCGGTGTCAAGACCGGCGCAGAAGCTCCGTCCTATGCTTCAGATCCTGAGTCGAATAGAGGCTCGGGAGCACCCAAACCACCTTCATCATTACCTCCCGCACCACCAGCTATGAACACCAGACCGCAACTCAACGCTCTTCGGGGCCAAGACTCAAGACCCAACTCGGTAGCCTCAAGTATAAGCGGCAAGCCCAAACCTCCGTTACCTCTAGGGAAAAAACCACCTATCCCCCCTCCCTCATCTCGCAAACCGTCCAATCTTGCCGCTCGAGCATCTCCGGCTCCCCCTTCGCTTCCTCCGGTAAGAAATGCTCCTGTACAAACTGCGCATGAAACACATGCTGACTTCGTGTACCGGCTTTTAGGCACCACCACCATTGCCACCAACTTCAACATCCCCTAGACCAACTGCTGTTCCTCCACCACCGCCATTACCGCCTTCGAGATCAACCCCTCCACCTCCTCCTCCGCCGTCCGTGCCTCCCCCAGCGAGCGCACAGGACGATGACGACGAATACGACCCGTACAAATACGATAGTCGCGCGCCATCCGCCCCGCCCGCCCCGCCACCACCACCGCCGCCTCCATCGAACGGACACACGCCCTCTCTAGCTGAAACCGCCGCGCGCAATGCGTACAGTCGCACATCGCCTGCTGCGCCACCGCCTCCTCCACCTCAAGCAGCGCCGCCCAGTGCACCCGCGCCTTCTCCCCCACCCAGTGCCCCAATGAGTCGGCCTGCGTCTCAAACACCCCTGCGATCGATGATGGATCCGAGCTCGTACACCTTGACAAACGGCGGATCAAGCATAAAGAGTCCGACGAGCTCTCATTCCGGCGGAAGTGGAAGGGAGAAGGGTAGGGTCAGGCCAATTCACGATTTGAGGTGGAGATTCCAAGACGAATCACAGTTTCCGCGACCAAGAGAATTCACTGGCGGACAAAAAAGATACCGCGCTGGACGAGGCAGCAGTGTGCCATTGGATTTGAGCGCGTTCGAATGAGCGAATTCCGTAAAAAGGTTCTTCTGGGCGATTTGTTGCATTGCTGCTGGCCAGAGCGGTTTAGGAATAGATATTGAAGTTTAGCCTTGGCGTTAATGGGGTTTAGTGCCTTTATGGTATGTTGTAGATGTTTAGGGAGGATCGCTGAAATCAAGGTGTATGTGTAACTCGCAAAGAAACACCCTGAGGGTATTTCGCATGCGATAACAAGTACATGAGTGCGTTGGACAAATCAACAATTTACTATGAGGGTACAATCTGTTGAGTTGCTGGAGTGAGTGTCATAGTAGCTACGCAGTTTTGCGGTCTGAACAATATACTGTGCGAACGGTCAAACCTTGTCTGTATAAACTACAAGACTTACCATTCTTCCAATGTTTGCTCTGCAGTACTCCATGGCCACATTCATTAACTACCGTGTGGCAGTTTTTGGTGCTTAGCATATGTGAAAAGTATTAAGATTAAACTGCTAACATTATTCTGGCCCGCTCTCAGCTACACTGTGTTCCCTCCATTCCTCACGACATATCGATCCATTGTTTCTTTCTTTTCTTTTGCTTGTTCATCCTCTTCCTCTCGTTGCTGAGGCACCCCTAACGCCTGCTTGGTATAGATTCGGTACAAAGTGCCACCCCAGTTGACAAAATAGATTATGAACATGAATATGAGGAGGGCGGTAGTGAAGCCACGGAAAGCGGTCGAATTGAGGGAGATCGAAAGGTTAAGGAGGCCGGTGGTATAAACACCTAAGAAGTCTTGGTCAGTTCAGTGTACAATTGGTGTCGAGAGAAGGACTCACCCATTGGGAAGATAAGGCTCCACCACGCCAAGCTGAATGGCAGCTGCCTCTTGACAAGAGCCTCAACCACGATATACCATGACATGGTAATCCACATGAACCCGAAGCCCAATGCTAACAACGCGATTAATATCGCTGCTGCACTCACACTGCTCGCTGCACTGGATTGCAACCATGTCCCTTGGTTGTAACTTCCAAACATCCCTCTCGTACTCGCAGCCGAACTCAGCGTCTGGATTGCCGTGGCGAATTGACCAACAGGTCCCACTGTGATGACAAGACTGGGAATCTTCATCGGTGGAGGCAGACCCACAGCGATGAGTTTATGCGCAATGAACGCATAGTAGAGGAGCGCAAGGAAGAAGGCATAGCCAATGCACATATATCCCGTGACGATGATAGGAACGGCCATGCTAGCACTCAGTCCAACCGAGTAATTCGCAATCAAACCGCCCGTCGTACCAAGCGTCATGACAGAGATGAGCGGAAGCAGAATCGTGGGACTGAGCTGACGGTCAACAGTAATATCCCGCTTCGCAAGCACAATGACTTGAAAACTACACAGTGTCACTGTCCACACGAGACCAATCCACCACAACACGTAGGCAAAGACGGTCCAGTTATACCCCCAAGCCGTGGAACATGTGAGTGTTACCTGCGCTACCAGTGTCAAGTACGCAATGGCTGGTGCGCCAAGGTACGAAAGCTCTTCTTCGTGGGAGAGTGTCTGCGTTTTGACGTGGCGTGTGAATTTCGCGAGGCGTAGCAGCGAGATAAGGGTAAACGCCGTGAACAAGACGAGGTTGAAGACGAACATGATCGTTGCGAGGATGCCTAGGCCGCGGAATTGCCAGGGAAGAAGATTCATTATTATTGATAGGACGCCCGTGTCCATGGATACCGTGAACCTGCTTCATGATTAGTGGCGGCCATGGTTTCCCTTGCTACGATGGAAATACCATTGTGGGCTGAAGTTTTTGATCGCAATTGACCATCCTGGCTCACGTTTCGGTGTGACGCCATCTCGTTCTTGACGTTGGTGTTGTTGTCCCGAGCTGCTCCTTCCATTGGTTGACATGGCGCGCGGCAGGTGTGAAGGATGCGGTTACCCCAGATTCGCGTGGAGCGTAACGACAACTAAGCTTTCTGAAGCCAACATCATGAAGTAAAACCTCTATGTATTATACTAAACCAAACTATTCGATCTAAGGGTAAAAACAAAGAGACCACGGCTTTCGTGATGTCAACGGAAATAGGTGGTTGCTTGTGACATCACGGAACCGTGGTCCCGACCATGCCGGGCGCGCTATTAAGTAACGAAATTACCTTCTCCGAAAGGCGATCGCAGAGAAAGGAGGAATCAATGACTGCACGCCAAACCCCTAGAACACTTTAAATGCAATGATCGCAACATCAACACGTCACGACTCGTAGACGCGTCCTCACGGCAGAGCGCGTCTGCCGCTTACGAGCTCTTCTTCCCCTTCTTTGTCCTCGGAACGCGACAGAGCCAATACAGGAAGATTGCCGCCGCCATGTTGAACGCGATATATACCCATAGTAGACCAAAATCTCTCCAGCGCGTGTCCCAATCCGCGTGGATACGCGTAAGAAACTGGTCCGTGGAGTCCATCTGACAAAACCCGCATTGTCCGGTCGCCTGCGAGTCTCGAAGATAGCCACCAGCCATGTCAATATACTCGGACATGTATTCGCCGCAAGTTTGACCCTGTGGTGGAAAAAAAGTTTGGAACTCAGAGTCAGCGCAATAAGCGGGCGCTTGACCTAGCGTGGTCGACATGAAGCTCGACACCAGGTAGGTAAAAGGATTGACGCGATACATGAAGATCCAGAAACCAGGCAAATCGTTGGGTCCAGCGAGAATACCACAGAAGGCGTATAGCATGATGGTTATTAAAGTGGCAATAGCACCGGCAATCTCCTCGTTAGGCGAGCCGGCAATGAGCAGATGTGCGAGGGTGCTTGCGAAGACGAAGACGGCCACGACAATGAGAAGAGCGTGGAAACCACGAACGTTAACTGCATCTGTAGCTTCTGCGTTGCGGTACAAGCCGGCAGGATAGTACCACACAAGGAAGCAAAAGACAGCCATGAAAGCATTCCAAGCCAACTCGATGAAAATGTTGGAGAGGACGAATGCTTGCCAAGCATAGGTCTTCGACTGTCGCTCCCGCGCTTCGTACAGAGTCCGTTGCGAAATCCACATCGGCATGATCTGGTAGATGAGTTGGATGACCACGAATAAGAAGATGAAGACGCCAAACATCTGGTTCTGCAGGCCCTGCATGGTGTTGTTGCTGTCAAAGAACGAGAATCCGATCAGGATAGAACAACCGATAGTCAAGATAGCCTTTGCGTAGATGTATGACGGCGTCCTCCAGTATTGTTGTGCGCACCGCATGGCTACAGCGCGTAGTTGGTCCTTGAAAGAGGCTGCAAAGGCCTGATGACTGGCGTCGGCTGAGTCCATGACAGCAGAGGGCCGGTTGGCGAGTTCCCTAAGACTAGCTAGTTCAGTTTGGACATTCGCGTACTCCTTGCTGGACTTCCAGACAGCAGGCCAATCAATCTCGGTTCGCGCACCGGGTGCCGCACCGATTGCTGCAAGCATATACTCGGCAGGGTTGGTACCGGCAGGGCATGCTGGCGCTCCGTTGCGAGTGAAGTAATCGAGGAGGGTCTCGGAGTCGCGACCGATCTCACCAAAGTATACAGTCCTTCCACCTTTGGCGAGTAGAAGGAGTCGGTTGAAGCGCTGAAAGAGAAGGGATGAAGGCTGATGAACCGTACAGAGGATCGCCTGGCCGTCTCGGGTGAGCTTCTCCATCAAATCACAGATGGACCATGAAGTCTGACTGTCGAGACCAGAAGTGGGTTCGTCGAGAAAGAGTAGCAACTTGGGACGGGCGGCAAGCTCGACGCCAATGGTGAGGCGCTTACGTTCTGGATCAAGTTAGTGAAGCTCGTGGGTCATGGCCGGAAGCATGGGGATAATTACGCTCAACATTGAGTCCAGATCCGGGAATACCAACGACAGCATCCGCATACTCTTCCATATCCAAAAGATGAATGACATGATCAACATATGCGAGCCGCTCCTCGCGCCCATACTCCGGTGGCTGTCTGAGCAATGCAGAGAACTCCAGAGCCTCTCGTACAGTGGATGTATCCAGATGTATGTCTTGTTGCATGCAGTAGCCGGTCTGTCGTTGGAAAGACTCGTCTCTCTGACGGCCGTCCACAAGCATGTTACCACCAATGACGCCCATGGTCGTTCGACTCGCGAGAACATCGAGGAGTGTAGTCTTACCTGCACCTGATACACCCTGCAGGACTGTTAGCTTGAGTACAAAGAAGCAGTCCGGCTACCATACCATTAGAGCTGTCAGGGTGCCCGGCCTGATGTATCCGTCTACACCATCCAGGATAGTACGGGTTTCTCCCTTGATCTGGACTTCGTATGTAACCTTCTCCCAGTGAAAGATAGACACCTGCTTTTGCATTGTGGGTTCTAGTTCTGTGTTACGGCTGATCTTCTCACCCTCGTGGGCAGTTGCTCCACCGGCTTCCTCGTCAGCACCGTTCTTCTTCGCCGTCTTCTGCATCTTGGAACGTCGGAACACAAGCACTTCGCCCTTAGAGCGCTCGGAAGCAACCAACTCGCTCATGACCAAGTGAGCAAGGAAGAGAATGACTGTAATTGCTATGATGATACCATAGTTGGACCATCGTTCACTGTAGTTATACTTGAAGGCAGTCTCGACGTATGCAGTACCGCTGACGTAGTCTAGACCTGGTTGGGAGCCTTGCACAGCACATGCTCGCTGTTCAGGCGCAACGTTCTCATACGATGGTCCAGAGGGTACGAAGGACGAACAAGCAAATGTTCGATTGTGGAACTCGTTGACCATGACATTTTCGAAGCCGTACGCAACCGGATTGATCCATCGGAACCAGCCCGCCCATCCTTGCATATACTGGACCGGGATAGCAAACCCGGTGTATAGTACGAGCATGATCAGGATGAGAGAGCTAGGAGCGAGCGCTTGGGCGAGGGTTTTCGTCATCGAAGCGAACAGCCGGAAGAACATGCTCATGGAGAGACCTGTGGTAAACCCAACGAGCAGGAAGTAAAAGTACGGACCAGGCTCTCGACGTAAATTGGACATGAAGTACAATGTCGTGTTGACCAAAAGACTATTAGTGATCTTGTACGGCAGGTCCACGATCATCGACGACAGTGCTTCCGCCGAGGGATGATACAAGGCATAGCGGTTGTGTTTCTCAATGATAGTACGCTTCGCGTAGAGATTCATAATCTCCAACATCGATCCGAAAGCATTGAGCAGCACGACCATGAACAAAACTCCGCCACGTTTGAAGAAGGATGCGGTCGACTGAGGTAGGTTGTAGAAGATACTCGATATGATAAGCGCCTCGAAGAAATTGACAATGAGCATAGTTAGAAGAACGCTCGGGTCATTTTTGAGTCTCTGCACATCTCTCCACATGCAGAGACGGATCTGCCTCCAATAGGAAAGAGTATATGGCGACTTCTGTCGTTGCTTCTTGGATTTCTCCATTGTCCTAGAAAGCGCAAAGCGTTCGTGGTGCTCACCCTTGAGAGGATAGGTGTTGTTGTATTCTTCTATCTCTTTCAATAACTGTTGACGTTCGGGACTCTCCTTCCAGCATCGAGCGAAGTCGTCAGAGGTACGGGGCGTGGTGTTCTCGAAGCCCTTCCGGATGCGGCGCTCAGATGCGGATGTCATTGAGGTGAGGAAATCTGGCGTGGTCTGGGAGGCAGGGCATTCGAAGCCAAGACGTTCGAAATATGCGCGCGCTTCGTTCGACGGTCCGAAGTAGATCTGACGGCCTTCGTATAGTACAGTGACCTTGTCGAAAACCTGTAGGAGTTAGCCGAACCATTCTCTAGTCGCATCTTACTGGAAACTAACCTCATATGCGGCTTGTGGGGCTTGATAGATGGCGATTACGCAAGCTGCACCAAAGATGTCACACTGAGTTCTCAGCGTCTTACAGAACTCCACCGCATTGGCTGAGTCTAAACCACGAGTCGAGTTGTCCCACAGTTGGAGAGGTGCAAAGCTGAGAGAGGCCTCAGCAATCGTTACCCGCTTGCGCTCACCTCCGGAGACTCCACGGACATAATCGTTGCCAACACGTGTGTTTAACGTGTGCGAGATACCGTACATGGCCATGACGACCTACTAAAGGTCAGTGATCAGTCCATATGGGCTCGAGTAAGTATACCCACATCTCGTAGATGTTCAGCGTAGCGCTGGCGACTGATGCCACCGGGTATGGTACGAGGTGCTCGAGCTAGAGCAGCGAAGTACAGCGTGTCACCCACACTCAATTGAGGAAAGTGCGCATCAACCTCTGCGGTGTAAATTGCTTCTCCACGGAACACGGAGTTCATATCTTTTGCTGGCACACCTTGGTAGTTTAAATACGAGTCGGGGCTGACTTGGAAACCATGGGTCTCGCCGGCGATAGTCTTCAACAGTGTTGAACATCCCGATCTACTGATTGTTAGATCATATAGCAGTGTTCGACAATATTCGAACATACCCAGGCGGTCCAAGGACACATAATTGCTCCCCTGGAAGGAGCAGTCCATCCAAATCCCGTAATATCTCGATTTTCTGCGTTCCTCTTCCAAATAAAGCAGGCAATTTGAGGATGGTATTCCCCACAGTCGACTGGAAGTCTGTTGGTGAGCCTTTGCCCCAAACATTCAAACCTCTGAATGCGACGCCAGCAACACGGGGGATTGTTTCTTCACTACTGTAACGCAAATCGTAAAATGATCGGGCCCAATCTTTGGCACGAAATTGGTCGCTCTTGGGGTCAAGTTGGTGGTGTACATCGTCGGCAAAGGGTGAGCCAACATTTTGTTGTTCTGATTGTGTTGTAAATTTGCGCACAAGCTCATGAACATCTCTTTCACGCTGCGCTTCTTGTTGGGCTTCGGTCTTGTCGTCAGGTCCTGTAGAGTTGGAGCTAGCGTCTGACTCCAACTTCAAGCGGTCAACGTGGGCTTCTTCTTTGACCGCTTGTGTCTCAGTGAAGCCTAGTCCAGCTGACATGCTCAAATAGAGATGCGCGTTCAAGGAACTTCGACGAAACCGCGACCAGGATGTGGATATATTACTAGAAATACTATTGGTCAAGGATAGCACTAGCAGCGCTGTCAGTCGGGGTTCGTGAGTCTATCGCATGAATGTATGAATGAATGCACTTACAATAGGGAGTTCTTGTGCGGATCGAACAGTGCTGGCCCAGTACAGGCAAGGGAAGATATTAGATAGTGATATCGAAACAGCTCCGAAGTGCTGTCCGTCGACATTCCTTTTATTGAATGAATCATGATGCTGAAGGGTCATATCTTCGCAACTATGTCCAGCACAGGTCAGTCGGCAAACTTGGCGATCCTGGTCCGAGTGTTATGGGTGGTGTTCGTGATTCTCGGCAGTACGTAATTAACCGGACACCGCGCTTCCCCGAATGTCCGCGGGCTCCTTACCCTTTCCTCATCTACGTCTTCCTCTCGATGCGCAATTTTGCAGAACATTTGGTGATTCGCTAGTCAACCAGACCGCTTTCGCGCGCGAACACCTTTCCGGAACCCGAAGGTGCGTCCAAGAAGTCGCTGCAGCCGTAAAATGACGACGAAGCTTGCCGTAGGTACCTATCATCTACACTGATCGGAGAGCGGAGATTGCTAAATGTCCCTTGAAGTGTCTTCGGTGCAAGCGTAAAAAGATCAAATGCGACAAAGCGGAGCCAGTTTGCCACCAATGCATCGCTGCCAAAGAAGAATGTCAGTATGTAGAACGACGACAAAGGCCGCGCCACGCGCAACAAAAAGCTGTCGTGCAGCATCTGAGCCAGCGACTAGAGATGCTCGAGAAGCAAATCAGTGATGCTGCCGATGATCGTTCATCATCTGTATCAGATTTGGCACCGAGACGCGAATCGATAAGAAAGAGCACACCCGTGCCGTCTCCAGAGGCCTCGCTGACCGTGGCTGATGGTCAGGAGTCATGGGTAATGAAACCGATACTGAAGGAGTTCGTGTTCGCTGAGCTAGGCCTTGAGTGAGTTGAACGTACCATAGAATGTTTGCTGCCTGCTCATTCATCTATGATCTGCGTCATATGCAAAGGTGTGCCAAGAAGCATTCAAGGATACTGCTCAGAGGACACAAGCGCTCTTCAAAGTCCTGTCGGATCATAATAGCTAACCTTTGTAGATCTACCGGCTTGCGACTGATACTCGACGCAGCTTCCAAGATAAGGCTACTCCAGTCGCGACACCAACGTCAAATATCGATAATGCAATGTCGGCGCTCAACGAGGCCCTCGAAGACCTTGGAAAATTAAGGGTGCGCACTGGGGCACTGAGTGTGGACTTCAAAATCTCCATAACAGAGGCACGATCATGTATCGACGGATTTGTCACTGTCATGTCCTCAATGCTTGTACCGGACGCATTCACGAACTCCATTTTGGATATCGGCTTACTTCGCGCGTTACCCGAAATAATTGACTCTCCTTTCGTCAATGTGGATCCTAGTATGCGTGTGCTGTAGTGAGTGGCTCCTGCTCAAGCTATATGGGAGTCGAATCTAACTGATATCGACATCAAGTTACAACGCCATGTTTTATGGATTACAGTTGACGGAAGCCCCAGGAGGAGACCGGATTAAGAAGGCATATATGAAGATATTAGAGAGCGTGCCTGCATGGCTCGAATCTCCGAGTGACACAAGCATGGACATTCATACCGCAGCCCTTTCGGCATGGACAGCGATGACTTGCCATGACTACCAGTTAGCATGGAAGTTTCATTGCAAGTCCTGCCAGCATGTCAAATCAAACGGGATAGATCAGCTGGATGTCATACCAGCAAAATCCTTCGAAGAAGAAAGCAGGAAAGATACCGACCGCTATACATACTGGTACATCCTGTCTATTGACACCTTCTTCCGTCTGTTCTATGATAAGCCGACAGTCTTGCAGTACGTGCCAAACAAGGTTCGGCCACCACTACTCTTTCGTTCCGACAACATGCACCCCTCAGCTCTGAACGTCACAATGAGCGCCGTATGGATAAGGTACACACTCCTGACAGTAGAAATGATCAGCTACGTCGATAGTCACCAAACACCGGATCAGGATGAAATAGTCTCCCAGAAAATCGACGAAACTTGCTTACAGATGGAGGCACTTATGGACGAGTGGAAATTACATGAAATGATGAACGCGTCGGATACTTCAGACGACGTTCGTTGTCTTGTCGCAGATCACATTAGTGAGTGGACCCAGTATATTGAATCTGAAGGAGGAGCAGCCATCAGCTGACCTTGCGTAGTGAACATTTACGCGACGATAATCGGGTTGAAAAGATTGGTACGTCATCACCAAGCAAGACCTGGGTCAAAGGACATCGCCCTCCGAGCCGCTCGCCGTGTCCTAAATACCATCCTTGACTTCTACAATACGCCCAGTCTGAATATCAAGTTCACGAGCATAACCGATCAGTAAGCTTCGCCCGTTAATGCCCTATCCGTTCCATGCATTTTCTCAATGCAGCCACTAACCTGGCGTCAGTTTCATAACATTGTATCCTTTCTGTGTCGTATTTACACTATACGAGCACATACTAGCTTGCAGCAAACCCGAGGATTGCGAAAGTGATATAAAAATCCTTGAGAACATCGGAGCTGCTATGGCTCAAAGCGGTATAAAACGTCGAGATTTGGTCCCATTCGAAAGGACGATCAACGCTCTAAACCGCGTTTCACGATCTCTACAAGAAGAGAGGCGAAAAGAATCGATGTTGATTGAGACTAGAGAGCATGTTGCGCAACAAACGGACCTGCTTCCGACCAGTTTCGATACAATTCAGAACCTGATGGCTAGCGAACTTCCAGACATCGATATGTCAAACTTTTCATCGATGCCCGACTACACTCCAAATATGGACGGCGATTTCCAATCTCTGGGATTTTTTAGGGCGATAGAAAACAATTTCGTTGCGCGGAACTGGCAAACCGACTGGTGGGATCTCGGTGGTGATGCGGATATCGGAATGAGCCAGATTCCAGATACTAATCCACCAGATTTTGCCTACCAAGCACCAAATACATGAGCATGGCAGAGGCTCAATGAGAATGTAGAGAGTGAACGAGCGGTGGGATACTATCATGACTCTGAGAGGTGGGTAAAAGCTACCCGCAACCTTGTGAGATTATTGTTTCGATATCCAACTGTACAGATAGCATATACAAAGGCAAGAGTGGGCGAAGTGTGAACTACTCAAGATCAGGCCTACCAAGGTCAGCGCTTCGGCTGTTCGGTACTAGCGCTTATTACCCACTCTGCCTTCTCAATGCGTTATCACATCCGGTACTTTTGCCGGTCAGCACGTACGAACAGATGTGGGGATACATACTGAATTCCAGCAACGTTCAGATATCATGCCACATTTCGCCCTGGCCCACTTACTCACTTATAGTGCTATGGGCTTCCCTGAATTGGTGTCCTTCCTGATTCCATCTTGATCACTCTGTACTCTGCGATCATGCAACCTCCATTTCCATCACCAACGGCCACCTGGCATAACGAATCCTATGATGCTATCAACCCATCGAATGCAGGCCTCAGCCAAGCAGGGAAGACGGTAATCATCACGGGAGCCGGCAGCGGCATAGGTCGTGCCACAGCTCTAGCTTTTGCGAAAGCAGACGCAGCACGCCTGATCCTAATCGGACGCACCGAATCGACCCTCGAAGAGACCAAAAAGCTTCTCGCAGAGAGTAAATCAGAATGTGCAGTCTACCCTGTCTCAGCGACTGATGAGACTGCGATGCATGACATCGCTAAACAGGTCGGCGCCTGGGATGTCCTCGTTCTTGCCGCAGCACACATTTCCTCACCGTCCAAGATCGTCGAGGCTTCTCTGCAAGATTGGTGGGCGGACTATGAGACGAACGTCAAGTCCATCGTCATCGCTTCGCAGGCTTTCGTTCCAAGTGCGAAGCCTGGTGCTGCTTTATATACGCTCGCTGCTGGCGCAGCTGCTCTGCCGCCAGCATACACACCCGGACTATCGGGTTACCTTGTATCAAAGACCGCGCAGACAAAGATCGTCGAGTTCCTTGCCGCTGAGAACCCAGATCTCTTCGCATGCGCCGTACATCCTGGAATGGTGGATACAGGTATCTTCCGGGGCTCTGGCGCGGATCCGTCACAGCTACCCATGGACTCTGGTGAGTGGTAACAAGAAGTAGTAAAGAAGTGTACTGATTTGTCGCACAGTGGATCTAAGCGCGAATTTTCTTGTTTGGCTATCACAGCCAAAGACCAAGTTCCTGAGCGGTAAGATGGTTTGGGCGAACTGGGATGTGGAGGAGTTGGAGGCGCGCCAGGACGAAATCAAGGGGGGTTCGATGATGACGGTTGGGCTTGAGGGATGGCCCTACAGTCTTGCTGCTGCGAAGTAGTCGCTTCATTGATCAGATCCACAGCCGCTTCATATTGAAGCACATCGTTGTAATTGGCATGCATGCAAATGGGATGCAGTGTGGCGTTAACCTGTGTGAATATTGTCTCATGCATGCTCTCCACCAAATCTTGCAAGTGACGGCCCTTCATGGTTGCCTTTTCTTCAATCTCTACACTACATTCGACATCCAATAAGTGGCCAACAAACGCTCTAGAATCGGAGCGGACCGTCCACACCGTCAGTCATGCAAGCCTCAAGTGGCTGTGCATCTCAGCCCGTCGTCCTTCAATCTTCCCCACCTTTCCACTGGGTCAGCTCTTAAGCTTGCCTTGATATTTGCCACCACTGAATGCAGTATTCTGTCCCTTCATGTTCCATACCAGAGCCGTCTTACAAGATTCGTGGGAAATCTCACTCTTACTCAATATGCGTGTGCCTGCAAGGCTGACAGACCCACTTTCGCCCGTCAGACTTAAAAGTGTCGTACTCGGTACGAGCGAAGGACGATCGCGTCTAGAAGGCAGTGTATAGATCTGCAATGCTTGATCGACAGGTCTCAAATAGGGTAATGTAGACGCCGGACGTATAGCTGGGAAGATCAAGGAACAAAGACCTGGTGTATGGTAAGCCGTACTGATTACAACCTAGGATCATCTGTCGAGATGTCACATTGATTGGAGTACACAGGTCCTGCACCAATGCATCAGATACCGATTTCGTACTCCAGTGATGGGTTACAGATCGAGGTCCTTTGTACCTGTGAGGACCAGTACCCATGGTCTCCTTCCCTGGACATCTCGCCTAAAGGCCAGCACATCACCAAGCCTCCGCCTCTCTCTTGGGTCTTGAAGTCAAACTACCCTCTATCTCCACCCATCGTCATAAGCAATGTGCAGCGAATCAATAAGCCAAGACAAGCCAACACCGTTGTCGTGAATGACGGTGAGGCTTCTCAGGACCCTCCTCTTGCAAATCAGGTTATCGGGCAGACAGCCGCTCGACCCCGCCTCTCGCTACACGCACCTATCGATTGCGAACAACGTCAAAAAGCCACCCGCGGCCATTTATGCAAGCCACACGGCTTGATGGTCTATATTCGGCATTGGAATTCTGGTAGCGCGAGGCGAGTAGTTGAGCTATGGAGACATGTATGCAAGGCGTGACGTGACCGGTGAACGAGTGTAGCTGCCTGTGAGCAAAAAAAAAATGGAAACGACGTTCTGGAATGTGAGAAGGCGGAAGTGACGACCTTGGTCAAAGGAAGCCGAGGTCTTGGCGATGAACACCCTAGTCTTCGCCCGTCGACAAGCATGTAAGACGTGATTTTGCTATGCAAGCACCAGGCTGTTTGCCTACAATCGACGAGCATGACCCCAGTTGTTCTAGCTCTTAGCAGAATTGCCTATACCATACGCCAGCTCAAAATCACTTGACTTTGTCTTCCGTAGCCTCTTCTACAGTCTATGCTTTCTAACTCACGTCGTGTCAAATTGCGCAACTCAACCCTCAATTTCTCTCATCAAAGCCTGCGGGACTAAAAGCACTCGCCAAACGCATGGTCTTGACCAATGAATGTGCGCTTGAAGGCACATAAGCAATATGTACACCAAGCCTCAACAAGCCACAGGAAAAAAAATGCACGCAGCACGCCTAACGCGAAGAAAAGAAGAAGAGAAAGGAATCAAGGGAACAGGGACACGGCTCGGTAGCGGCAACTGGCTAGTACGGCACGGTAGTTGAACCAGTAACTATAAGCCGAGTTTGCCGGTCCAGGAACCAGGTTTTCTTCCATCCCATTTCCCTATTGCAGTTGAGCTTGCCTTGAGAGCAAGTGGGCGAGCGGGTGCGTGGAGCGTAGTCCTTTCTTAACTGGACCGGCTCTTAAAACATGTCATATATTCCAGCTCACGACCCCTAAATCGGTCATGGTGTGATTGGATATGATGTGTGATCTCCTCCTGTCTTCAAACCCTCCTGTTTGTGTCCCTAGCTGAGCGCACGAAAAGCAAACATGTGTTCATCTCTAGCGGTCAAAGCTACCATGCAATAGTTGGCAATGTCGACATTCAAGGCTGAATACTTACCTAACCCGAACCCTTCTAAGCTTCCGCCGGCTGCACAACCCGCCTGTCCCCGTGGCGTACGTGTACTACTGTATATTAACCTAGGTACCTTAGCGCAAGATAGCTTTACTGCACAGTACATGTAAGAAACACTTGGTTTTTCTGTTTCTCCAACCTACTCTTGCATATGTCGGGCATCTGTCCAATCAAAGAGTTGTGACGCTGGGCGTGGCTGTCTTTCTCAGTGTCAGCACTGCAGTTGGTGGCAATTTGCTGACGGACGGCAACTACGGCTTGGCTTTCGTGTTCGTCAGATTAAAGCCACGACCTGTGGGCGTCCAGGGGGTAAGAACTCTAATCCTTCGTCCCGCTTCTCGTTGTCGTGAGGTTTGACGGAAAGTACTATAGCCGTAGTCTGTAATGAGTAGATTGGAGCGAGTACCAAGTCAAGCTCATTGCACAAAGCTATTGTCAATGGTTAGACCGGAACTATGAATGAGAAGCGGCACGAAAGTGAACAGACAGGGAATGCGATGCGGATAAAAGTTCATGATTGTACTATATGCTATGCAATGAGCCAGTAATCCCCGGTACTCATGCTACGTGGTGATCGTTAGGTGTGCCCATTTTTGTGTGTCTATAACGCCCGATTATGATGATTTACTACAACGCCGCTCGCATTCCTGGTGCCAAGCAACCTGTTGCGGCGGAGAGAGTAATTATGAAAAAACAACAGTACATGGGTCTGTCCATGCTCGAAAACATACATGCAAAGTGCCCAGTGTCATGCTGCCCAAAAGAAGCCCCGAAGATTGCCAGATGATACAAAATTAAACGCTGTAAAACTTTCAATGCAGTTGTTGGTGCCAGCACGTGGTTGTGATGGGAGAACAGGTGACGGCGTGGACGCGAGGAAAAGGCGATAAGGATAAATGCCGTGGTGAAGTTATCGCGATGAAGAATTAGACCTGTTCGGTGAATGCTGACTTGCGCGAGTCACCGGATGTTCTCCTCTTCTTCTGGAGCTTCTTGGAAGTTCTCCGCTCAGCAAGGTCAACCTCCTCGGGTGTGGGCGGCTGGAAGGTGCCTGGCTTTAAAACTTGGAAGCCAGAGTTGACGCTGCGCAAGACATGGTCATCGCGATCCTGGTTCTGCTCCGTGTTCACCTCGTACGGCACTTGATCGTAGCTGTACTGGTGTTGAGGGCCACGAGGTTCGTAGGTGTCTGGGTAGTATGGCGCGCCAGGTGCGTAAGACTCGGTCAAGGGAACTGCCTGCCTAGCCTGGTTCGCTGCGCTGCCGTCGTGACTGGGACCTGCAGAGGCTGATAGAGCAACGTCTTCGTACTGGTCGGCAACAGTGGCTAGCGGAGGAGAGGGTGACTTCTGGGGCATGAAATAGTTAACACCGTTGACCGAGGAAACTTGGTTGTCCGCCACGCTGGCCCACTCTCCGCTATTACCTGGCTTGCGCACTCTGGGAGTGAGCTGTCCAGTTTCAGCGACGTGGGAAAGACGGTGGCTGCGGAGGAGTTCGAGGTCGGTCTTGGGGTCAATGGGTTGGTTGGGCCTGAAGTATGCA